TGTCCGTTAGCCTGTGGATGATATCCAGAAGTTAAACTCACAGAGACTCCGATTTGCTCAAAAAAGGCTGACCACACCTGCGAGGTAAATTGTGGCCCTCGGTCAGAGACAATGTCCTCCAGGATCCCAAAAAACCTAAAGTGGGTAAGTGAGGAAACAGAATGAAACGAACCCCCCTGGAGAATCTATCCACCACAGTCAGAATTTTGGTGAAACCTTGGGATTCGGGAAGTTCAGTTATGAAATCTATAGCTAAATGTGACCAAGGTCTGTCAGGAACTGGAAGGGGCATTAACTTGCCTGCGCAAAAGTCTTAGGGGTCTTACATTGTGAGCAGATCGAACATGATTGCATGAACGAATGAATGTCCTTACTCATAGATTCCCACCAGTATCTATCTGTTATCAACTGATGGGTACCTGTTTCTCCCGGGTGACCAGTCGCAATGGATGAGTGTGCCCATGTAATTAAATGATCCCTACATTCTAGAGGGACATATTGACTTGGCACAGAAACATTAGCTAAAGCAGCTTCAATGGCTTCATCTATTTCCCAACGTATAGCTGAGATAATAAGGTTTGGGGGTAGAATGGGCTTCTGGCTATCAGGGTCGAGTACATGACTGTTTTCTTGGTGTATACGTGAAAGTGCATTGGCTTTCGTATTACGAGACCCAGGCCTGTAAATGATGGTAAAGTTAAAACGGGCAAAAAACAATGACCACCTAGCTTGTCTAGAATTCAATCTTCGGGCGTTCCTGAGATATTCTAAATTCTTATGGTCCGTAAGCACCGTAAATTGATGGTTAGCTCCCTCGAGCCAATGTCTCCATTCCTCTAGAGCTAACTAAACTGCTAGTAGTTCTCTGTCCCCAATTCCATAATTTCTTTTTGCTGCTGACAATTTGTGGGAAAAAAGGCAACTGGGTGCAACTTTACTGGTGATCCAACTCTTTGTGACAAAACTGCCCCCACCCCTGTCTCTGAGGCATCTACTTCTACCACAAATGGTTTGGAAGGATCAGGGTGTGTGAGAATGGGAGCTGAAGTGAAGGCTTCCTTGAGTTCTCGAAACGCCTTCTCAGCTTGCTCAGTCCATCTGATTCTCTTGGGGGCGCCCTTGAGTAGAGATGTGAGTGGTGCGGCTTTTGTACTGAAATTCCTAATAAACCTTTGATAGAAATTAGCAAACCCTAGGAATCATTGTAGCTCTTTAACTGAAGTGGGCGTGGGCCAATTAACTACAGCGTCGACCTTGTGATCATCCATGAGAACCCCTTGACTACTGACTACACAATCCAAAAAGTTGACAGACTCTAGATTGAATTTAAATTTCTCCCCTTTTACATACAGATTATTTTCGAGAAGTCTCTCCAACACTGCTCAAACCTGCAGCACATAGGTATCTTTGTCTGGAGAATAAATCAATGTATCATCCAGATAAGCAATTACAAATTGACCTACCTCATTAATAAATGCCTGGAACACAGAGGGAGCTATAGAGAGCCCGAAAGGCATCACGACGTACTCATAGTGCCCCCTAGTGGTCATAAAGGGCTGTCTTCCACTCATCTCCCTCTCGGATACTTATTAAATTGTAGGCACTTCTGAGGTCTAGTTTGGTGAATATTTTAGCCCCCTTTAACTGCTCCAAGGCTACTGGGACCAGAGGAAGTGGATAAGGATAGGGCTTCGAAATGTTATTGAGTGCTCAATAATCTATACAAGGCCAAAGTCCTCCATCCTTCTTCTTAATGAAAAAGAAACTAGAAGATATTGGGGAGGTAGATGGTCTAATAAAGCCTTGTTCGAGCGCTTCTTGAATGTACACATCTAATGCCTTCTGTTCTTCCTGGGTTAACGGATAAACTCAGGCCTTGGGGAATGTATGATTTTCAATCAAGTCTATGGCACAGTCATAAGTTCCATGTGGGGGTAACTTGGTGGCATTGACTTTGTTGAAAACCTCTTTGAGGTCCTGATACGCAGGTGGAAGGTGGAACTGGGCTTTTTCTTCGTCGGGGCTTTCTACTGATGTGGAGCGGACAGAGAGTGAGGGAGAAATGATGCAGGTTTGCAAGCACTCATCTGACCACTTGGTAATTGTGTGATCGGACCATGGAATCAAGGGGTTGTGTTTTTCTAGCCACGGGAGTCCTAAAATGATTTCAAATTCAGTTTGTTCTAGGACTAAAAAAGACAGAGTCTCTCGATGAAGGGCACTGGTCTGGACTACTAGGGGCTTCGTGATCTGGTAAATGATTCCAGCTCCTACCGGTCCTCCATCTAGTGCTACCACTTTCAAGGCATTCGAAAGTTCCTCCACTGGAATTTTGAGTTCCTCCACGATCCTGGCTTGAATAAAGTTCCCTTCTGCTCCGGAATCTAAAAGGGCTGAAACAACAACAGAATCGGGATGACAGTATATACTGATAGGTAGCATAAATGATATAGAGACCAACCCTTTTTGTGTTCCTGCATCTCCTTTCTTCCGGAGTTAGTTGCGATGAGTCACATAGCATGGGTTCGGGGACTTCCAGTGTTTCCGTAGTACTTCGTGATCTAGTGAAACTGCGTCTGACATTCTTGTCATACTTCCTCTAACAGATGATCGATTTTAATAGCCAAATTCACCAGTTCATCTAATGACAAGTCGTCATCTTTACATGCTAGTTCATTCAGGATGTCGAGTCTGAGTCCTTGTCTAAACATAACTACTAATGCAGCCTTGTTTCAACCACTACTGGCTGCTAAAGTCCAAAATTCCAAAGAGTAATCCACTATGGAAGGAGCCCCTTGTTTGAGCTGAGCTAATAATTCCCCACTAATTTTTCCTTCATAAGGATGGTCAAATACAGTTTTGAATTCACGTAAGAATTGTGCATATGAAAGACGGTGTATTCTATTCCAGCTTGCGGTAGCCCACTCTAATGCTTTATCCGCTAGCCTGGAAACTATGAAGGAAATCTTCGCCTGGTCATTACTAGCGGGAGAATTATCAAAATAAACGGAACATCGGAGTAAAAACCCTCGGCATTTATCAAGGTTACCGTCAAACTTATCAGGTTTACTAACCGGAAAAACAGCAAGAGAGTTTAGATCCTGAGCAGCGGGGTTAACTTCAGTGACGTTCAGAGTCTGTAACTGGCTGCTTAAACCTTGCTACGAGCTGAGCTAGCTGAGAGTGTTGTTCAGCTTGCTGGTGAGCTAGCAATTCTAGTGAGTTAGTTACCCCAGAAAGAATGTGCTGATGTCTGCTGAGTAGCTGTCCTTGTTCCATCAGTGCCTTCTGGAAAGCTTCTAAATCCACCATCTGCCTGTGCGGCGAGGTATTCTGTAACATGCGACCAATAAACAGACGCTCGTGGATGTAAAACAGTGAAGAAGCTTTACTTGGGGATTCCAACAGAGATATCGTCGTCAATACACAGGCATGGGTCAGTTCCAGTGTAAGCAACAAAACACAGAAGGCGATCATAACAAAGTGGGGTAAGGCAGATCAGAGTCCAAAACACAGGCGAAAGTCAAAAACCGAATATCCAACAAACCAGGCGACAGTACCAAAAGGGCAAATCTGAAAAGCAGAGAAAAACGAGAAACAAAGTCAAAACAGAAGGTCAAAACACGGGAGATCAAAACCAGAAAGAGTGCTCAGTAGTTTCACCAGGAAAGCAATACCTCACACTGAACCTGACTATAGCCCGGGCTAATATACTAACTAAAACAGGTCATGTGAGATAACATATAGGTGAAAATGATCAATATTCAGGAGAACTAGAACAGTGATAGGCTGCTGATGATCTTTCCGGAATCAGGTGATGAGCTGGAGGATTCTGGGAATCGTAGTTCTGAGGCTGGCAGGCCGATTACGTGACAATAGCATTAACATTATTTTTTTCTTATTTCCCTATATGTACATTACTCTTAATGTATTGAACTTATTGAATGAGAAAAATACAGTTGAGAAAATATTGCACACTTTCCACATGTAGCAGAACAAAAAAATGGTTCACTGCACTGTAGATGCCTTTTACATGTCAAGGAGCCTATGTTTTTATGGAAATTTACTTGATTTCTCTTTGAAAAAACCTTAACCACTTTTAACTACCCACACATCACTGCAAGTAAGTAAGTGTTTGATTTCTGTTAGGATTCATAACATCTTATAAACAGCTAAATGAAACTCACTTTACATAGGGGTCGGTGGAAATATATGTAACTCTGTCACTACAGTCTTATGACATTGCCATAGGGTTTCATGAAGATCTTATAAGCATAAATATGATCCTTAAGAGGCAGTGAATATACATATACATTATTATGCACATTGTAACTAATTATTTGATTTGATTCCTTGACCCCTTAACAATCCAAGTTTGTTTAATTCAAAGGCATATTATTCAGTAACTACAGGGACTTCAATGCTAATGGAGCTATTCTTAGGTTCTTGAAGTGTGTAGTAAAACGTTGTGGCTTGTTAATGGGTTGAATAATCTTTCAGTGCTTTAACTATTTTTTTTTTTAGTGTGTTTGAGAAGAACCTTTGTAGAGTCTGCAAAGCCCTAATGTAGTATAAATGTTTCATAACAGTTAAAGTTTTATTTTTTTCCTAGAACAGTACAATCAAGCAAAACGCCATTTAGGAACCTTTATTTTTTAGAATGTTTTAATGAGCCAGAATGCACAACACACACCAAATATGAAGTTTAACATGCAAACAAGCCATGCTTTTTAAAGAAATTTCTTAAGGTATTACAAAGATTTGCTAGACTTTAATCAAGATTCACTAAAGAAATATACCCACAGATTTCCCACAAACAACCACTAAATATACAAAGTGAACATGAAAATGTGTTAAATATTGGGGTGGCAGAAAAGCAATAGGGAATAAAAGGGATTAAGTCATCTATACTTAGTTCTTGTCAGACCAGACATGGTCTTGTAATGAGAATACATGCCTGGGGACAATTTGGTAAGTTTTTGGTGCTGGATTGCTGCAAAATCTGCTTCTAAGAAGGATACAACACCTTTAAAACCCAACCCTAAAATCCTCAAAATAGTCTGTGCTATTTTAACATCCGCAGTAAGCTTGATAATACAGACAAATGGCTATTGTTAGCTAATAGAACTGCTTTTCCCTTGCACACACAACACATATCTACATGTTTCATTGGAATTTTTTGGGGGGGACTTTTCATCCGTGCAGCTTATATAAGGTCCATGGGCTAACAGCAGGCTTGTTGCTCATTGGACAGTGTTGAAGAGCACACTATTGCCCCCAACTTTGAGCTGCCATGAGGCATTGGACTGAATTTTCAACAACTTGTTTCCACTCTATTAAGTTCGCACTTGTGATTACCTGTATGTATGTGAAGTACGAACCCCCTAAAAAAGATAAAAATAATCAATGAATAACCTATAAACAAGATACAAACAAATTGATAGTATACTAAGTTAAGCCAGAACCAACAGTAACTTACATAATGTCAATGATGACAAAAATAAAGTAATAGATCGTAAAGTAATGCAGAGAATCAGTGTAATTCCCCTTTTATCTATATGTGAATCTTGAATCTTTGTATAGTTTTGAGATTCAGTTGTCATTTGATTCTTGCAGATCCTTCACGTAGTCGTTGGCAAAGTTGACAATGTCCCTCAGTGCCATGAGGATGATAACATCAACATTGGCATCTTCAGTGATCTCTGCATGATAGTTCTTCACAGGGTAGATGTTGCTCCAGGGGATGCCCAGTTTATTGCTGCTCTCCTCTACCTAAAGAAATGTACATAAACATGTATCAAGAGAAGCTTCTGCATGACTTTAGATTTTTCACTCTGTACTGTATATTACACATTATATTGCTGTTGTCAGAACAAAATCTCATATCTCCAAAATGGTAACTTTACAGAAGAGGAAAAAAACCAAAAATGGAGATACAAGGTTTTGTCCTGACAGCAGCGATATGTTCTTTTTTTTAATGAGTAAACTTATGCAAGGACTTTTTTTGAATCACTCTGGATGTTTCAAAAAAATGTTATTGCTTGAATGTTACACTTTTACAGAAGCCCCAAAGGGTAAGATGAAAATAAATAAATAAATAAATAAATAAAGTGTGTTCCTGAGTCTGCGTTCCACGTTACTTTTTTGTCTGGCTGTACAAGATAACAAAAACAGCCAAAAGATGTTTATAGCGCCACAGTACAATTAAAGGCATCGGAAACCTCATAAAATATATTGGCAAACACTTAGCATGTTCGTCCAGCATTGACCAGCAAGGGCTAGCAACAGGGAATCTAACAACCAAACAATTAGCATGCCACATAGCTTTTACCACAAATCAATCAATTCAGTTCAAGACTGCAAATCGAAAGGCAACTAGAGATACATCATACATGTTACAGAGCATTGTAATGTGCATTCATATAGAATTAATTTATTATAATTATGTGTAGACTATAGGGTGAAGACTATTGACAGACCTCTGTTTGCAGTCATTCAAATAATAACAATTTTCTTTTAAAGAAAGAGCCATATGGCATTTCAACACAAAATATGTTTAAAAAGCATGTGTGAACAATATATCGCTGGTGTCAGGAGAAAACCTCATATCTCCAAAATGGTAACTTTACAGGAGAAGGAAAAAAACTACTTTAGTTTGAATGTAAGTCAATGGAACCAGACTTTTTTCCAAGTCATTTTGGGACATTTCTTTAAGTCCATTCATCATGAAATGTACACACAATGTAAAGACCAACAGGCATTTTCAAACTGTGTCAAAAACTGAAAAACGTCAAAAACGGAGATATGAGGTTTTGTTCCGACAACAGCGATATGAAATTCGGCTTGATTGGTAACTAAGACAGATTAGGGTAATAGCTATGCTGAGGTTTGTTAGCTGTTACAGTCTGATAAAAACAATAAAGAATCTCTAGGTAACAACTGGCTGAGATAGAAGCTACCATAGATAATCTCCTACTTTCAGACTAAGCTAACACGTTCTTCCAGAGCTATTATCGACATTTATAAAAAGAACCATTGAATATTACATCTGGCAGTCAGTTGTCTAGTGCCTCTGGATTGGCAGTCTATTGAATTGCATTGCCCTTTAACGCTTGTGGTCCAAGTTGGTATGGCATGCTAACTGTTAGCCAGTTAGCATAAGGGTAAAGGAAAAAAAAAAAACAAACAGCTGCTCCCTGCCTGTCAAAGCTGGTGTGACTTGCTAAGTGTTAGCCCTTGTATTTTTTCATACAGCAATGGAAATAGAAATAGTAAGAGAAGATAATTCTTGAGTGTTTTTAGAAATTTGTTGAAGTGATGCTATATTTTTTTTCCTGCTGGTTTTTGTGTGTTACACAGGCTGAAAAAAATAAATAGTGGAACTTTTTCTGCGCTCTTCTCGTGTGGTTCTGTACTCTTTGATGGCTCAGGAGACTGAATGGTGATTTTCCTAAAATTTCCTAGCATTAGACAAAGAGGAGACGAGATAAAAGAGAGATAAAGCAGAGATGACAGTTTAATTGCAGAGGAAAATGATTGTTAGGTGCCGATTTACTGTTTTAAACTGTTGCAAACTCCAATTTGGTGTTAAAAAGTGGCTGTCGCATTTTATTAAATAGGCGCAATGCTGCTTTAAATCCAATAAAAAACAAAGGGGTGGTTTCTGATCTTTTGCTCCTTTGCCTCATTGCCTATGCATTTGTAGGAGTTTACCTCTCAAAGGGCAAAATATTGGGAGGAGATTATTGATGAAGCACCAACTCCCATCAGTAGTAAATACTGACTGTGCGCTGTTTAATACCTTTGGAAAGATCATCTTTTTGGCACAAAAATAGCTGCCATTGTTTGTGCTCAGAGAGAAAAGAGCTTTTCAAATATATTTATTTAGTTTTGATGAGGATAAAAACCCTTGTAAACACCTGTCATGCCACGTTATTATTAATTTAATGAAGGAAATGAAAAAAAAAAAATCAACCTGTAATTTCCTAATATTTGCAGCATATTTTGCAGTTGACAGTTTTCTGAACTTTTGTTAAAAACAATTAAAACACAACTCTGCAATCTGTGCTTTACTAAAGCCGCTCCTTAGTACATCATCCTTGCATACTGAGGTGTCTGTGCTCTGTAGTTTATGTGTATGTGTGGCAGAAATGTCACAGCCATCGATGTACTGGGCTGGGTTTCCTGAAAGCATCTTTATTCTAAGATCACTGTTAAATGGTAGAGTGATTTTAAGTTTAACATCAAACACTCTTTTTACCATTTAAGATGATCTTAACTTTACCATGCTTTTGAGAAACTGGACTCTTAATGTGTTTAGTGAAGTTAAACAGGGATTTTAATATCACATGATTTCCAAATGCACTCAGCAATTTTAGCATCTCTCCAGTCGAAATTGAACATAAGACAGAAATCATATCGCTGTTGTCGGAAGAAAACCTTGTATCTCCAAAATGGTAACTTTGCAGGAGAAAGAAAAACCTACTTTGAATGTAAGTCAACGGAACAAGACTGTTTTCCAAGTGCTTTTGGGCAGTTTCTTTTGGTCCATTCATCATGAAATTTACATATAATGTAAAGGACAACAGCCTTTTTCAAATTATGTTCATTTTTTTAGTTAGTCATTATTCTGACTTACTAAGCCCAAATCTTACGAAAATAAGGGATTTCAATCCAATGAGTCTCAGTTTGAACTGAATACAAATTAAAATCTGTTTTCTACTGTCTTTTTGAAATGGGCTTTCAAAAAAGAAGCATGTGAGCTCACATGTTAATGATTAGCTTGAGCTTGTTAAAAGCAAATTTCTTTAGTGATAATTCTTAGTAGATAACATGCTAAATTGGCCATTCCCATCAGTGCAAAGTGTCTCTACACTGTCTGTACACTAGTTTCTCACTTAGTAAATCTGCCCCCTTGATAAATCTGAGCACTATATGTGACTTTACTAAGATCTCTACTGAAACTCAACAGGAGGCACCTGTGAGATTACCGGGCTCCTTTGCTCAGGAGAAATATGTGAGTAGCAGGAGATGTAAGCAAAAGTCTCATTTGTCTTTCCATCTGGTCTCATTGTTATTTAGGACAGTGTTTCCCTGCCCGGTCCTCAGGGCCCCCCAGATGGTCCACATTCTTCCTGAGTTCTACAGTCCCCCAGTCTTTCAGTGACTGCTCTTTTGTTACATCCTTCGACATTCAGATCTCATTTGATGACCAACCTCTTTATTCAACACTGTTCTTCTTTATTACTTTGTCTTTCCAAAGACAATATAGCATATATTTACTAATGTTTTCTACAAACCTCTTGCATAAACCTTTTTTTGTTTTGTTTTGTTTTGTTTTAAAAATAAGTTCTCAGTATTTAGGCCTAATAGTCCTTTAGCACCCATAATAAGATCATAGGGGCTCTTTTGTGCTTTCCCTCTCAAAGTGAACATTTCTGGGCTTTTTTTTTTGGTGCTAAGATAGCTGCCATTGCTTATGTTCATAGATAAAAGAGAGTTTTTAAAAACACAAATTATTTATTTACTTATGATGAAACAAAACTACTTGTAATCACCTACATGTTACATTAATCTTCGTTTGATGAAGAGAATGATAATGTTTTAAACTGCTATTAACTAATATTTTGCAACACTATAAATCAGCACTATCAAAGAGCGGGTTTTGCCTAAATAATCATTTGCCAGTTTCTCAAACTGTTGTTAAAAGCACATAGGCTATGTTCACAGAGCAGGACAAGTGGCCCAAACCTGATTTTCTCACCAAATCCGATTTTTTCGTTTGGCTGTTCACATTATCTTTTAAATGTGATCTGTATGCGACATCAGTCTAAACAGATCGGCTCCTAAACTGACTCACATGTGCAAAAGAACAATGCTTCATGTTGCTTCATGTGGCTCATCAATCCTGACTTTGAATGAACGCCAGTTGCTCCCGGAGGATCAGCCTCATTCTCCTACAGCCGTGTTTGGCCATTTATTTCGAAACCTCCTTGAACACGGAGCAGTGCGGTTGCGATGAGTCTCTTCTAATTTTTTTAGTACAGAAACACCAACCTAAATATTTATGAGGTCTCAGCAGTGCGAAATTACGACGAATGTCGAGCTGGATTGACGTAAAAGTCGCATGAATTCTGATCTGGCTGTTCAGACTGAGTCGCAGATCGGATACGGATCGGATTTCAGTACCACATATAAAAGCGTCTCAAATCGGAATTGAAAATGTCACAGATTCCACGTGTTTTTTGCTGTTCACACAGACCACATCTGTGTCACATATGAGGAAAAAGATCAGCGACCTGCTGTATAAACGTAGCCATATTGAAACTGTTGTTACGCTCACCGCAAGTTCAGTGAAACGCTCAGTTTGGCAACTTGGTCCCTTTCAGGTTCACTTCAACAGAACTGAATTTGGTTCTTTTAAATAGAATTATATGTGAAAACACACTTTATCACTATCATCCATGTTCAGCAGTGTACATTAAGCTCTGTCATATTGGGGTTCAGCATATCCAAACAGCACATTGCACTGGAACGATTCATAATCCCTAATTCACTTCTTTTGAGTTGGATTTAGCATTCATCTTGTAAAGCTGAATGTTTTGTGTTTCATAGTGAGATTGCACACACAGGTTACCTTCTGTTTGATCCTTTTGCTGTAGTAAAGTTTTCTCATGTCTCGGTTGACAATCTCACATGCGTTGTCCACTTTGGTCAACACAATGACTTGTGGTATGTCTACAAAATCAAGATATAGAATAAATAAAGTAAACATATAACACTTAAGAAATTTAAATACAGATAAATATGTGCTCCTACTGAGTTTAAATTATTCTCAACCTTTAAATCTCAGTTTTTCACTTGAAAATAAACTGATGACTTTTTTTAAATTCACATGTAAATCCCACATCAACCCCAAAGATTAAAGATGGTAAATAACTTACTCAATTCAGAAGCTCTCTTTCGAACTGTCTTCATTTTCTCAATGACACATTGATCCATTCTTGAGATGGCATCAGCAGGAAGAATGCTCACAAGACAGTGGACTTTATCAGATGGATTTGGGTAGGTGTTGTACTTCTGGTTTCTCTCAGAGATAGGTCTGCGGGGATTAAACTACGGCAGAAAAAATAGATATTTCCAAGTTCTGTTTTTTGTTTGGTATTTTGGTACATATTTCCAACAAACAGACAGATTTACTAATGTTTGTTTTGGCGCTAATGCATTTTGAGAATGCAAAATGACTCGCAGACGATTTATCTTCAGATGTGCAAAATACTCCAGTACTCCATTTCTGTCAATTGTTTTTGTTTCTTTTACTTTCACTTTGGGCTGAGCATTGCCTGTTGTGAGAACTGGTGCAACAACAGAGGGAGATGGAAAGGAAAGCAAACAGGCAGAGTGAGTGAGAGAGAGTGAAGATCAATATTAGCTATTATTGGCTGTGTTTTGCATTGTCAATGCTTGGCTGTATTTTACATTGTAGGAGAAATACAGCACACTGACAAACATAACAGCACAGGAAATGTCAGCTGTAGGCACCTTATGGTCTGTCACATGTTTTGTGTGTTCATGTTAGGGTTAGAATGGCCCAATTTTTGCTGAGATAGAGGGGGAGGGCGAAGTGTTAGGGCTACATGGCTGTCCAAATGGAGGTTTTTCAGAGACTCACTCCAAACAGAGTGTTATGAGAAAAAAAAAGAAAAACCAGCAAGATGGCTGAACAAGAGGCCAAAGAAACCCACAAGTGTGAGAATTTTCTCCATTAAAAAATTACAATAATCACTGTATTATCTTAGTTTAATGCTGTTTCAATGTATTATGGTCGTTTTCTTCACAACAAGCATAAAAAATCGCTAATAGCATGCTAATATCTCGGTAGCTAGCTAGCTAATTTTCCCATTCCACATCATAGCCCAGCTGTACTGATGCCTGAAGTGCCAGAATGTAACTGCTGCACCATTTAAGGTAGAACGGGAAAATTAGAACAAGAAGCTGGAGAATATCTGACTTTAGCTTCATATCACCAAAGGCATTCGTATCTTTGAAGGCATATGATGCCCTAAATGTAACTCTTGCCCAGCAGTGAGGTTGCTAAAATTTTCCCTTCTCTGCTATCACTGCAGACAGGCCGGGTCACCTACAGAGCAGCGCTAGTAGCCTGATAATGAAGCCATGTTTTTTTTTTTAATTTTAGTGTCCCTCAAATTAAATTTTTGTAGAGTAAGATTTCAACCACTACTCCTTGTAACTCAGTTCCAAGGGGTTAGGGTGACACATGAAAACAAGGGGTAGGGGTAAAAAGAAGAAATGGGATTGGGCCCTAGATGGCACATTGGGTCCAGCCAGGCTCGTCAATGGCATCGCCATTTTGGGGCGGTCAACATTGCTGCTGGACTGCATTCAGTGCCATTACAGAGCAGCAGTTTAGGAAAGATACTGTCCAAAATTACACTATTTCAAGAATATTGCTCTCAGAAAGCAGGATAGGATTATATAATGGAGGGAACGCAGTGATCCACACTCATGTTTGTGTGATGTGTATTGTTTGTCTGATGTTTAAGTGTAGATATGGCCGTGTGGTTGGTGAAGCACAATGAACCTGTGATGTGATTGTTTGTCCTCAGGTTTTATATTAAGCTTATTTCATTTAATAGTCTATTCATGGCATCTTAACTTTATGTAGTAGTTATTTGTTTGCAATGGTGTTTAAAGCTTTATAGCTCAGTAAGTTATAGCATTCCTTAATCCGAGTAGATATTCATAATAGATTAATGTCAGCACCTTCCTACACAAACCTAAGGTTAGCTTCTTATTTGCCAGCTTTTTGTTCAAATTCTCCTCTTCCACCTTAAATGGTGCATCAGCCAGCTTCTTGTTCGAATTTTGCCAATGGCCATTTGCCATTTCAGGCTTTTTTTTATTCAGTATGCCAAAATATATCAGTGACCCTGGTCATACTAAAGCAGTATATTTGTCGTTCTTATTTTTTTTTTTAATAATTTACAAATTGTTTATTTTGTGACTGGATGGCTTAAATGTTGGCTTAGTTTCAGCTTTAGTTGGCTAGGTTTTAAGCAGACCTTGGGCTGTATTGTGATTTTTATTTTGCTGGACCTGAGGACTCTGTTGTTTACTCATGTTGGGATATACCCTGTCTTGAAACACTACATCTCACTTTGCCGGAGTAATACCTATGGAGGATACAACATGCCCAAACAAAGAAATTAATAAATGCATAAAGAAATAAATGAGTAGCAGAAAAAGAAAAATGAAAAAATAAAATACATTTGGGACTTCAAACCTTAATTAAATAGATAAACAAATAAATAAAATGAACATGGAAAATAATAAATAGTAGAAAAGCAAAAATAAATAAATACACAAATAATCATGAAAGGTGATTTAGAAACACATAAATAAATGAAGTACAAACACATCAGCAGAAATAAATGTATATTTATAAATATTTCATATATTTCTGTTTTTATTTATTTCTCCATTTATTTCTGTATTTCTTTCTCGGGTCTATGCTAATGAGGTTGGCAACACATAACTCTAACAAACTATTGGTTGAGGTTGGATTGTGAGGTGGACTAGATGCTACTAAACTGCAGGTCCATACAATCAGAGAGAAAACCAAGAAAATTTCAATATGCTGAACCAAAGACTCTATCAGGTTCTATTTCACCGCTCAGCTCTCATAAGCACTGCACTTAATACTGCTACCACTGACTTAAGACTGGTACACACTGGACACGACATGATCTTCTGTAAAATTTTGCTATGTTGTTTGTGCCACGACAAAAGGTTCAGAATATCTATCAAGTATACTTTTCTTACTAAACGGACAAATCGTGACACTGCTGGTTGCTTTCCATTTTGGAAAAGCAAAAGGAGAACAGAGAGTTTCTCCACCTCATTTCAGGAGCTAAAACTTTATGAGCTCTTTCACTCACAGCTCAAATCTCTGTAACCTTGTCTCAGCTGATTTTGGAGATGCAGTTCCACATGAGATGTAGCACGAAGTAAATGGGCAATGTTTTAAGTGCAAATAAGATCTGATTCTTTGTTCCCAGCAGAAAGGACAAACGGTGACAATGAACCACTGTCCATTTTGGAAAAGTGAAAGTAGTGTGAAGAGCTTCATCACTTAATTTAGACACTGAAAGCTTGGTTGTTTCTTAATATGATTCAGTGTTTGAGCTGGTTTTGGAGCTTCTTATTATTTTAGCATTTGTGAAAAGCTCCAGTTGCTGGTACTCAGATGATCCGTCAGCTTGGTTGTCACCATGCCAACACCAAAGATGACAGTGATTGATCAGAGTTGTATTTTTGCCATGTAAAAAAATTGTGTACTCTGCAAGATAACATGTTACACACATGCACAAATGAATTTACTTTTGTTACAAATACATCATGCTTAGAGTGTAAAGGCCTTAATTTGTCCACCACCAAGTGTAACTGCACAGAAACTCTGCTCAGATCCTCCACCATTGCTGTCAGCCTTTCAAAAACAAGGCCAGAGTAGTCAAACACACTGCTTTTTCTATGATGAACCAATAGTGTGTAGGTTTATTTACTTTGTTAGCAGACTGGAGGAAGAAATTCATACATATTTAAATAAATCTGTAAATAAATAAATGCATGGATACATTAATCAAAACAGAATTACAAAATGCATAAATAAATGAAATGTATTTATCTATTTATGGTTTTATTCTTTTTTTTTTTCTGTTTTGATTGGTTTACTTTTGATTTATTTTGGCACCTTTCGCCATCCATAAATGCCTACTTTTGGCTAGCAAAATGGCAAAACTTTAAGTCTTCAGTGTGTTGTCATTTAAGACCAGTTGCATTTAAGATTGTTGTGCTGCCTTGGGATGAGCTGTCAAATAAATACCAATTAAACAGTTAAATGTATAAACTTGGCAAGCGTGTGTACTTACAGTGTAGCCATCTAAAATATGCCCCTCTAAAACTTTGATGATGTCTTCAGTTTGTATCCCTCCTCCATCCAGTTCAAGTCCCATGATGTCACTGAAAACAAAAGGATAATATCCACCTCTACGCTTCTTCATCTTGTGCGTTTTGATCTAGAAACAGATTCAAACATAATGTTTTCAAACATAGCTGCATTGTAGTGTGAGGAGATTGTTATAATTAAGCATTACTCTCATTTACCAAGACTGATTTAATGCCTTTTTTTTGTAGTCAAAATACTGAGAAAAGAAGTTTTAACCTAATGAGTCACAATTTGAACCTGAGGCAAAAAAGGATTAAAAATATTTTTCTTTCAGCAAAAAGGTTTTCATACAAAAAAGCATCTGAGCCAAACACGAGGTTGTATAGAGCTAGTCATATGTAAATGACGAGGTTGAGCCTGTGTTCATTCGCATGGAAGTTCTTAGTAGATAATTAGTAAGTAGTTGCCTAATGACTTTACTGATTACTTACTGAAGCAGTGAAGCTTTTTTCACTTGTTATTGAGCCTTCTAGAGCATTAATGACATTACGGCCTATGAGGGCCCTTTGAACAGAGTTTATGAAGCATGACTTCCCTGCCCCAACTGGTCCATACAGCAGAATCCTGAGGGGTGTCAAACTTGGGTTTAAATAGTCCATGTTTCTCAATATCCCCTCTTTTTCACTGAGAAAAACAGAGGATTAGAGTCAGACAGAGCACACGCACAAAGGACAGCAAGTAAAAAATACAACATGCAAAACAGTATTCATTTGTAACCCTGTAGGTTAACCCAAGATTAGTTCTGTACTTAGATTGTAAAAAACAAACAAAAAAAAACTTTGTAAAAAAAAAAGACTGTGCTGTTGGATACCATTGTTATTGAACACCATTGTTCACTGATATTATTTGGGTGGTGGACCATTCTCAGCACAGCAGTAGCCAGATTAGCCAATTAGATTGTGTTTCCATTAGCTCTCTACAAGACAGTGACTTTCTGTCATGTAATGTTTGGAAGAACACTTCTGAGAAATGTGGGTGTGTAAGTTTACAAAGAAATCTTTAATGTTGAGAAGCTTCTCATTGTTGTTCTGTTTTAATTTTCTGGCTGTATTTTAAATCGCATGAGTAAATAACTGCTAAATAAATTACTTAAGACACGACCGTTAGTACGGTGCCTTTTTTTTAAATTGGAAACATGGCAGTAGTAATACAACTTTATTTTTATTTGCCAATTGTGTAATTTAGCACATTTCTTTTTATCTGGAAAAAAAAAATGTAACCACCTCAAGTGAGTGCACACGCTTTAATGTATGTTTGCTGTTGTTTTTATTCAATATTTCAAAGTATGCATAAAAATACAAGGATAAAAACCTAGCTAATGACACTGACATGTTAATGGCATTGTAGTATGTGTGGAGCTGGTATGACTGTATCAGACACAGGGATGTGGAGGTTTTAACATATTTTAGTGTCACTGCTGTTGAGAAGAAAACTGACCATTAATTAGGCTAGAAAATGACAAAAACAAATTGTGCGCAGCAGTAGATGGGCTACATCTGGACCTTTAAGTGAAATGTTTCTAAATGGCCAGTGAAGGCATTCCTGATGTATATTTTAAAACTATATTGAAAATACCAACTTTTGTAAGTCTTCTTTCTATCAAATAAAAAATTTAACATAATTTTTTATCTAGTAGACATACATGTTCTTACCTCCGATCTACATTCCTCCAAGCAACTTTTAGTTCTGAGAAATAAAATCAAACGGAAGAATTTGGCATTTTAGGTTAGACAGCAATGCCTGCTTGATAAATGCTTAAAGCAAATCATTTTTTTACTTTCCAAAGACAATCACAGCAGTTATATACAAACCCAATTACAGAGAAAAACTGGACAGTATATGAACTGCTAATCAAAATTGAAATCAGTAATGTATAAATCTACTTTGACCTGTATTTGAACGAAAACATTACAAATACAAGATATGCAATGTTTTACCTTATCAGCTCCATTGTTCTTTTGCCAATATATGTTTATTTTGAAATTGATGACTTTGACACATTGGAACAGGGACAATTTAAGTTTAAAAAACTTCTTAAATAGGTGCAAAAGACATCCAGGAAAGGTCTAGTCTTTTATGAGCAAGAGTAGGTTGAGGCACGCCACTTTGTCAAAAATTGGTTCAGCGCAAACTCCAATAAGTTAAAAACGTTCCTCAGCCAGGGATTGCATGGATTTTAGGCAATTTATCATCTGCAGGGCATAATATCATCAAAAGATTCAGGTAATCCAGAGAAATCTCTATGTATAAAGGGCAAGACAAAAAAAACACATCTGAATGCCCATGATCTTCTATCCCTAAGATGGCGCTGCAATAACACCCAGCATGTTTCTGTGATGGATATTGCCACATATGTTTTGAAAAACCATTCTTAATCAACACTGTGGAACTCCTATGTCAACTAAATCAAGAAACGCTGCCGACTTCTCTGGGCTCAAACTCTGAAATTGACTGGTCTGACAAGTCAGCCTTTCTGATTATTTATGGAAACAATGAAGGTTGTGCTCTCTAGGCCACAGAAGAAAAGGAACTTCCAGGTTGTTACCAGAACCTCAAAGTTCAAAAGTTAGCATCTGTCAGGTAGTCTGCACAACTACGAAGGCACAATTAACACAGAACCGATTTTGGAGAAAAATGTGCTGCCTTTTTCAGGACATTTCAACATGACACCGGCAAGGAACATTCTGCATATGTTACAGCAGCGTGGCTGCGTAATCAGAGAGTGTGATTTGTAGACTGACCTCCCTACAGTCCAGAGCTGTCTCCCATCGAAATGTGTGGTGCATAGCAAAGTGCACAATACAACAGGTTTCTGCAGTTATCAGAATGTTAACGTGGTCATGTAAACAGCATAATCTGATTTCAGATTAAGGCTGTTATTGGATTTGTAGAAATCTGGTTAAGAGAGCTGGATTTTAGGTCAGTAATTGTATACACTTAACCTGAATTATTTTGTTTTTGCAGTCTGCGCACATGCAAAAACAGAGCACTGTCTCAATAGTATTTCAATGATACAGGGCTTAGTGCTATGTTATTAGTGCAATGATACAGGGCTTACTGCCATGATATTAATGCTATGATACAGGGCTTAGTACTGTGATATCCATCCTATTATACAGGGTTTAGAGTTGTGGAATTAGTGCTATGATACTGGGTGTAGTGCTGTACTATTAGTGCTATGAGACAGGGTTTAGTGCTGTAATATTAGTGCTATGATATTTGTGCTATGAAGTTAGTGCTATGATACAGGGCTTAGTGCTATGATATTAGTGCTATGATACAGGGCTTAGTGCTATGATATTAGTGCTATGATAAAGGGCTTGGTGCTATGATATTAGTGCTATGATACAGGGCTTAGTGCTATGATATTAGTGCTATGATAAAGGGCTTGGTGCTGTGATATTAATGCTATAATACAGGGCTTAGTGCAATGATATTAGTGCTATGATACAGGGCTTAGTGCTATGATATTAGTGCTATGATACAGGGCTTAGTGCTATGATATTAGTGCTATGATACAGGGCTTAGTGCTATGATATTAGTGCTATGATAAAGGGCTTGGTGCTGTGATAGTGCTGTGATACTATGGAATGAGGTTGGTAAATGATTGTGTTAATGATTGTTAATTTGACAATCATTGTTTTTTTTCCATCTCACTATATGAACAGGTGAGACTTACGGTGTGCGTGTGTAGAAGGAACAGTTGGTTTTGTCGATTCTCCTCCCATCTTTATCTCTGTAAAATATGAACTACATATTAGCAAACATGGGTCCATACTGTTTGTGAGTGGAAGACTGAACCAGAATACGGGAGAGCAGGGTTAGTTGGCATTGTGTTTATTTTCTGTTCAGAAGTGGATGCTGACCTCTTGACCAACACTGTTTCGTCAAGTCATCTGAAAGCCACTGTTTATGTAATTATGTAATGTAATGTAGTCTGTTATTTTTATTATAGTTTTTCGATCTGTACATCAAAAAGTGATATTAAATAAATTAACAATTATATCAAAAAAGTAAATATATTTTTATATAGAAATATTTTAGAGAGGTAGCTTTTGAATTTCCAAGGATAATCACAGCAGATATACAGAATTGTGAATTGGTTCTCCACTAATTTAGTGCTATGAATCAGGTCAGCTTAATGCTTTGATACAGAATGTGGCAGATTGTGATTGGACTACTTGATGTTCATTACAGGGAAATAAATATCGGTTGGATAAATTTAAATTTTGTTAACGAAGCAAACACTCACTTCTTAACCTAGTCTATTTTCTCTGGCCATCTGAAAGCCATACACTGTTAATGTAGTTTTTTCTTCTGTATATCAAAAATGATACTAGAATTAAGTAAGTACATTTTCTATAAATACAACCCCATTTCAAGTTGGATGCAAATCATATAAACCATATTTTTTATTTTTAAGGAAAATACTACAAAGACAACAAATCAAATGTTGAAACTGAAAAATGTTTTTTCAAAACCATATGCCTGTTTTGAATTTGATGCCAAAAACACGTTCCAAAAAAGTTGGGATGGGGGCATATTTACCACTGTGTTTCATCACATCTTCTTTTAACAACACTCTGCAAGCGTTTGGGAACTGAGGAGACACTGCTGTAGTTTTGAAAGTGAAATATTTTCCTGTGCTTGTCTGATACAGGATTTCAGCTGCTCAACAGTTCAGGGTCTCATTTGCGGTATTTTTCATTTCATAATGCTCTAAATGTTTTCAGTGGTGACAGGTCTGGACTGCAGGCATTAATCAGCATTAATGGTGCCTTCATAGATGTGCACGTCACACTTACCTTGTGCACTAACGCACCCCTATACCATCATGAATACTGGCTTTTGAACTGTACACTGATAACAAGCTGAGTGGTCTTTAGCCCAGAGGATGCAGTGCCCATGATTTCCAAAAAGAATTTCAAATTTTGATTTGTCGGACCGCAGAACACTTTTCCACTTCCCCTCAGTCCATTTTAAATGAGCATGGGCCCAGAGAAGGTGGCGAGGTTTCTGGATCCTGTCTATATATGGTTTCTTTTTTGTGTTTTAGAGTTTTAACATGTTTGTTTTTGATGCAGAGCCACCTGAGGGCCAAAAAGCATTGCCAGCAATTACAGTTTTTGCCCTTTTCCCTCATATACAGAGATTTCTCCAGATTCTCTGAATCTTTTAATGATATTATGTATCGTAGATTATGAAATTCCCAAGTTTTTTGATATGTTATGTGGTGAAACGTGATTCTTGAATTGTTGCACTCTTTGATTGTGCAGACTTTCACAGAGTGGTACACCCCTCCCCATCTTTACTTCTCTGGGATGCTCTTTTTGTACTCAGTCACATTACTGACCTGTTGCCAATTAACCACCAGGTGTTTTTTTTTTTAGCATTACACAACTTTACCAGTCTTTTGTTGCCCCGTCCCAACTTTTTTGGAATGTGTTTCTGCCATCAAATTCAAAATGGGCATATATTTACAATAAAATTTCTCAGTTTCAGCATTTGATATGTTGTCTTTGTACTATTTTCAATGAAATATAATTCTTTAATTATATATATCTTTAATATAATTCTAAATATTATCTTTAATTCTTTGCACATCATTGCATTGTTTTTAATTACATTTTGTACAGCATCCCAACGTTTTGGAAATGGGGTTGTATTTCAGAGAGATATCTTGAAAATGAATAAGTTGTCTCCAGATGTGAGTGGTGTTACCAACTTGCCTTAGTGCAGAACCACTGTAACATTATGCATTACACATGCATTACACATATACTACATATATACTATGTTATATTTGTGCATAAATACACATTAATTTTCTCTTATTGTACATCTCCATTCACCTTCTGTCTGAAACGCTCTATTAGAGCTCCTGTATCTTTACTGTGAGAGAGAGTTACGCTTTGTGATGTTGCAGATCATTTAAACACACAAAGAGCACACTAAAGGAAAGGGAAAAACCAGAAAAGCATAATATTTCCCCTTTAATCATATTGTTCTTGTAATACAGCAAAATACAACAATAAATTATCCAACCCCATTTCTAAAAAAGATGCTGTGCAAAATGATACAATAATGTGAAAATCATGTAAACACCATATTTAAACAGTATGAAGACAACATATCAAATGTTGAAATTTAGAAATTGTATAGTGTTTTCTGAAAAATATATGCCTACTTTAAATTTGATGCCAGCAACATTTTTCAAAAAAGTTGGGACGGGGCAACAAAAGAACTGGTAGAACATCTTGCAACTAATTAGGTTATTTGGCATCAGGTGGGTGTCGTGATTAGGTAGTAAATGGAAGCAAGGATGATGAGAGGCTTACCACTCTGCGAAAGACTGCATAGGCAAAAATTCAAGAACAACATTTTCTCAATGTAAAATAACAAAGGAATTTCATCATCTATGGTATATAATGTCATTAAAAGATTCAGAGAATATGGAGAAATCTCTGTGATCTTTGGGCCTTCTGATGGCACTGCATTAAAAACAGACACGACTCTATAGTGGAAATCACTGCATGGGCTCAGGAACACTTCTGAAAACCATTTGTCACTGCATCCACAAATATAAGTTAAAACTCTACTTTGCAAAGAACAAACCATATATAAACAGGACCGAGAAATGCTGCCACCTTCTCTGAGCTCGAGCTCATTTATGATGGACTGAGGAGAAGTTGAAAATTTTAAAATCTTTTTGGAAGCCATGGACACAGCGTCCTCCAGGCTAAAGAGGAGAGGGATCATCCAGCTTGTTGTCAGCACACTGTTCAAAAGCCAACATCAGCAATGGTATGGGGGACTTGCACATCTGTGAAGCGACCATTAGTGCTGAACAGTATATACAAGTTATGGAGCAAAAATGCTGACATCCACATGACGTCTTTTTCAGGGAAGGACTTACTTATTTCAGCAAGACAGTGTCAAACCACATTCTGAACATACTCCAACTGCATGGCTCTGTAGTAAAAGACTACTAAACTGGACTACCTGCAGTCCAGACCTGTCATTCATTGAAAACATTTGGCACACCGAGGAGCTGAAATCCTTTATCAAGGAAGAACGGGAAAATGTTTCACTTTCAAAACTATAGCAGTTGGTCTTCTCAGTTCTCAAATGCTTACAGAGTGATGTTAAAAGAAGAGGTGATGAAACACAGTAGTAAACATGCCCCCGTCCCAACAGTTTTGAAATTTGTTGCTTCCAATAAAATCATTCAGAATCAATTAAAATCTCAACATGTCAGATTACTCTTCACTTACTTGTATTACAAGTTAAACCTTCTTTCCATACCCAGGTAGGGGATTCACAGAAAATGGAATTTAATGCCGGAAGAAGAGATTGTTCAAAATTCTGGGTCAATTAAATCTGTCAATCTGAAATCTTGCTCAAGCAAGTCTTCTTCCTTGTGCATGCCTACAGAAGCAGTGAGAAGGTTTACTGGTGCAAATTACCATCAGAGTGGTTCAGGTGTTATTTTGGAGGGTGGGGGGTTGTGTCTTGTTATGAATCACTACCAGTGCATGTAAATGAACGAAAAGTAAACCCATCACATCATTCAGGTAAAACACGCCAATGATCCTTGTTTATGAATGAGCAAATGTGGTAACTCCACACTATTTGCTCTTAATGTCACAGTAAATCCAGTGATGAATTTTTAAATGAATAGTCCATTAAAGAACCATTTTTTGTAAAACCAAAAATAAATAAATAAAGTATGTTGAAAGCAACTTATCAACTAATAAATAATTATATGTATCGTGTACTTCTACTCATTTTCCTTTCCTTCATTGACAAAATTAGATTGGTTTAGTGCTTTTTCTAATGAAAAGTAAGAAAAAATGGCAAAGGAGTAAATATTCCTCTTTGGAAAAGAAGCGTGTAAGACATTATGACTGAATTCTTCATACTCTAATCTAATACTTCATCGCTTCAGCGATGGCGAACATTTAAAATATGCACATATATATATATATATATGCATATTTTAAATGTTCGCCATCGCTAAAGCGATTAAGTATATGTTTCTGAACTGATTATCATCAATTACTGCAAGAATCAGTGCATTTATCTAATCTACCCACCTACACTACACGTAACTGGGCTAATAATTTGCTAAGGCGAGGATCATTTTGTAATGTAATTTATAAAATTTTCTCAGTTACCTTTCTCTCCTAAAGGAGCGTCTGAAGAGTTTCTTTCTCTGCAGTGAGTGTGAGAACACCTGCTGCAACTGTTTACTGTCACCTGGCTCCTAATGTTTAGCATGCCATACATTGCACTCTACATAACTTCCTCTTGTGTGCTGGTTCATGTTTATTATCACTTTTTGTTCTTACTGTATGTTGTACACAACAAATATCAATGTTATGTTATGATTAATACCCCCTTTGCTGCAGTATTAACATGTTTTCCATGAACATCATTCTATTCAAGGCAGGGGTTATAAAATGGAAGTTTGAAATGCATGTTCTCTTCATCATTGTGGACTAGGTTAAGCTCACTCCAGTCAAAATTACTCCTCTACTGCTTCTGGATACAGCAATAATGTTGAATCTGTCTTTAATGTGTGTAACTGATAAAGCACTAAAATTTAAAAACTGGAAATTAAAGCTGAAAAACTTTCTGAGAACTTTTGCATTTGTCAGTACCATTTGGGAAATTTGTTAAGGAAAAATAGAGTAATTGTTGGACCTTTTGGGCATTATGACCCTTAATTTGACCTCAATTCAACTGAGGTTTCCTTTATGAGGATGAATTCTCAACAGCAGTTGAATGATATAAGTAAGCATGCTAGACTTAGTAGAGTACATTATTTGTACACCTTTTATTGAGGATCTATTCTTTGCATATGTATGTAGTTCTGAGGAGTGAAACTGAAAATATTTTGCTTTTAGCCAAAGTGCCCCTCTCCCAAACTTTAATAAATGGATGATATAATTTTCATTGGCTCTGATTCTTGCTTGTGTACGCAAACATGTTGAAATACAGTATCCATATTTAATGTGTCTATCTGATGAAATGAAAATGATCTGCGATGAAAATTGATTCTGGGAAAGGAAGCTTCAGGCCACCACTGATGAGAAATGACAGCACCGAAAAGCTGCAGGGAGAGAAGCATGAAAAGCATGAAAGAAATTTATTCTTCAAGAAGAGGATTGGTGTAAGAAAGACCTGTTTCACAGATACTATCTCTCTGTGACATGAGCAATGCATAACTTAGCTTTCCATTCAGTACTCATGTTTACAGGTGCAGGCTCACCACACGCATCAAAACAGTTAAATAAATAATGAAACTGAATTAAAATGTCAAAATGCAAATTTTGATCATTTATGGCTGCAATCCAACAATTCATAGCAGTTTGACACATTCTCCGGTAGATCTACAGGCTACAGGCAACATGCTCTTTCATGAATGACCTTTTTATAAGGAAAAATATAATAACTGATTTGTCTATGTTTCATAATATGAATAAGGATTAAGTGACCCTTATTAGTCCCATAACAGAGAAATTTCACCTCCGCAATCTAACCCATCCATGCAGTGAAACACCACATACACACTAGGGAACACACACACACTAGGGGCCAGTGAGCACGGGGAGCAGTTGGGGGATTAGGTGCCTTGCTCAAGGGCATTAGTATATAATTAAAATCATTTAACACAGACAGATGAAATACAAAAAAAAAAACAAAGGCAGGATTATGATCAAATGCTAAGTTAGAAACATGTTTTCAAATGTTTCTTAAAAGTGAACTCTGAGCTTGACTGTCTAATAAAAGGTGGAATTGAGCTCCACAGTTTAGAAGCAGAATCACTGAAAGAGCCTCTCCACGTTTTCTGTATTTTACAGAAGGTGTTTGCAGAAGGCCACTATCTGCAGATCTAAGATCACATGCTGGAACATAAACAGACTAAACAGTTGTCATCAGTTGTATCAGAAGTTAACAGAACAGAACAGGAATGATATAATCTCTTTCTTGTTTTTGTTGGGATTCATGCTGCTGCATTTTGTATGAGCTGTAGAGGACAGATAGTTTCTTAGAAATCTCAGTAAGAAGAGCATTACAGTGAGCAACTCTGCTTGTAACAAATGTGATATTTTTCAAATGATAAAAAGCTACTTTAGTGACTGCATTTATATGAGGGATAAAACTGTGGTCTGTCTGAGGTCATTCACAACACAAACCATTGCTGTGTCAATACTATGGTGCAAGGCAAAACTGGTCCCACTTTGTGTTAAATGTCTCTAATAACTGTGTAGTTACATGTGAACAACACATGCAACAACAATGTAACTACTAATGATTTAGTCATTGTTACAGATGGATTACAGAAGTGCACCTTATATAATTACACAAGTGTATCATTTTCAGTTTTGCCACGTAATTACACAAGTGTATCTAAATAGTTGTAACAGCCTATTCTCTCTCAAGTAATTACACACGGGTAATAACACATGTAATTACATTTGTAAACAGACTGGAACAGTATTTTTTAGAAGTTCCAGCAGTAATAGGAAGTATCTAATATTGTACATTAAGACATTACTAACACTGCATCTGCCAGCTTTCCTAACATTTAACTAGCATTTATGTTGCTAGTGCTGTGACATTGTAAATGTTTCAACTTTAAACCATCCTGTATGTATATGTGACAGTACAGCAGACGTCCCCTTATCTTAAAATGTAATTTTAATGACATTATTTAAATGTGTTGCATTACCCCAAAGCACTGTCTATGTTACCACTGCATTATTACACAGTACATACATAACAACTACACAGGAACTGTCCACTTATTTTAAAGTGTAACTTTAACACTACACTACAGGAAAGTTCCTGTGTAGAAGATACACTTGTGTAATTAAAAGTTAATTAAAGTTGATACACATGTGTAATTGCAAAGGCTGTATCCTTTTAATCCAGTGGTAACACTGACTAAATCACCAGTAGTTACAGTGTTGTTGCAATTCATGTGTAACTACACAGTTATCAGAGACACTTAATATAATGTAAGTGGGACCCTAAAACCTGATTGCAACTTCTCATATAACCTGTTTGATATTAGACAAACATCTCATTACTTGAAAACAACTTAAAAAAGGAAGGTTTGGAAATGGACTAAAATTACTTCATATGGAAGGATCCATGATACTCTTCTTTAGTAGAGGCTTCACCAGGGCAGTTTTAAAAGCGTCTGGAAAAGGATCTGTTGATCGAGAAGTTTACAGTAGTTAAAACATCACTTCAAATGCAATCAATAACCATCTTAAGGAGTGAAGTAGGGACAAGGTCAAGGTCACATGTGGATGAACTTAGTTTGTTTATAACAGTTATAAGCTCATGATAATTAACAACAGAGAAAGATGTCATTACTGATGTAGGTGGATTACTGGGAAGGTTGTAAGAGCTTGTTTCAGTTGACTGAGCTACGCTCTGTCTTATCAAGGCTGGTGTTGTTTTGAAAATGAATTGCAAACTCTTTGCAAACTCACCATGTCCAACACTAGCAGAAGAGTTAGGGTTGATGAGAGTGTAATTACTAAACACGCAGCAAACACTAAAGTCTGCATTTTTTCATAGCATTATTGTAGGTGGAGATCTGCTCTTTGAGAAAATTATAATAAACCTGCAGGTTAATTTTCCTTCATGAGCACTCTGCTTTACCAAAATATCTCTTTAACTGCACTTTAAGCTAGAAAAAGTTGAATTTACTTACAAAAATTGAAGAAACTGGCTGTCTTAAAAAAAGTAATGTGTTACAAAAACATGAGTTAGAATAACTATAATTTTTGTGTTAACATAAATGCTTGTTTGTGCCACTTGTAAATTCTAATTATTTTATTTAAACATATTGAAATTGCAATTTAATTGTTTCATTGGACAATAATTTTTTTTTCCAATTAAGTGATATCAACCACTTTGCTAAACTCCCAGTTACAAACATAACTGTATTTTACATCTTACTTAGTTTTAATCAGTTTCACACATTTGTTGAACAACTTTAATGCCATCATTTTTTTGAATGTGGGGTTTCAAAGCTGCCATGGCAACAGGTTAAACTCAATAGCAAGAAGTTAATTTAACTCAAAAATCCCATTTGAGTGTACAAAATCATCAAATATGTTCCCTTAACTTAAAATTGTTGAGCAGTATGTGGGATGTACTGAGTTTCATGTACAACAGACTTAATTTATTTTACCATACAAAATGCATATATTATGGAGCATATATTATTGTACATGTTTTTAAACTTCTCAACTGTTCTCATTTGAGTCAATGTAACTTTTTCTAAACTTCCAGGCACTTTCTTCCTTTCCTCTAAACTGACTTGAAAGAATATTTAGAAATAATCACTTACTTTGTATTATGTCTCTAATAACTATGTAGTTACACATGAATATCATCTGCAACCACACTGTAACTACTGATGACTTAGACAATGGTACAGATGGATTATAGAACCACAGTCTATGTAATTACCCATGTGTATCAACTTTAGTTTTGCCTCATGTAATTACACTAGTGTATCTTTTCGATACACTACAGATCATAAGTCTTTCCAACAGTTTACATAACATTACAGTTATGTTTTAAAGAAGTGTTGTAACAAGCTAACCTAATCACACTGAATTGATTAATACCATTCTGTAATTACACTGCCCCTATATACCAAGGAACACACAGGAGCTACACAGGAACTTTCCTGTAGTGTAGTGTTAAAGTTACACTTTATAATAAGTGGACAGTTCCTGTGTAGTTATTATGTAGGTACTGTGTAATAATGGAGTGGTAATATAGACATTTGGGGGGCAATTCAACACATTTACTTAATGTCATAAAAGTTACATTGTAAGATAAGGGGACATCTGCTGTACTGTCACATTACAAAATCGTTTAACGTAAATGCTAGATAAATGTTAGGAAAGCTGGCAGATCCAGTGTAAGTAATGTCTTAATGTAAGTTATTACATACTTCCTTTTACTGCTGGGAAAAAAAAAAACAAAACAAAAAACAAACAAAACAAAAAAACAACTACTGTTCCAGTCTGATTACAAATGTAATTACATTTGTGTTATTACCCTTGTGTAATTACATGAGAATGAATATGCTGTTACAACTATTAAGATACACTTGTGCAATTACATGAGGCAAAACTGAATTTGATACATGTGTAATTACATGAGGTGCACTTCTGTAATCCCTCTGTAACAGTGACTAAATCATTAGTAGTTA